TAAAAGCAGCTGAAAGATTGAGGCATTACCTATATGTAAGAGAGGTCAGAGCTGATGCCCCAATGCAGTCATGAGTGACAGCTAGGATGGTTTGGTGCCCACAACATCGAGAAAAACAAGGTGGATGGAGAGCTTGGGTGCCCAGAGAATAGTAGCAGGCTGAAGAAGTCCAGGCATTTGCTTTGTCCCACCTCCCGTTCAGCTTTTCTCTCTGCACCTGTTTAAATACAAAACAGCTATAGAGCAGCTGCCTAGGATAAGCTAAGAATTCAGCAAAGAATTTTAAGTGCAGTCCCAATAATAATTCTTTTCTCACGTGGTCTAGAGCCTAATCACTTATACCTATGAGGTTGTGTCTCTCATCTAATTTAGAAAATATGAATCCTTTCCTCCCTACTCAATAATAAACTGTACAGGCCTTGTGCAGTTTTCTACTGTGTTCCTGGAATAAGATTACCAGCAAGATTAAGGCCTCTGGTTGTGAGAAGGAGATTTCATAGGATTAAATGTTATCCAGTGTACTTCTGAAACAGAGGATAAATTACAAGAAAGGAGAATGAATTATATTACTGAAAATATCACAGACTATGGTGGTGGTGGTAGAGATAATGAAAAACTGAAAATTTAAATTATGTACAGAAATAAAAATCATCAGGGAAAAGTATTGCAGAGCCTACAGTTCTCACTTGTTGCCAGAAGAGGGCACTCGTGGCTTTTTTATGACTTAAGAGATTTAAATCAAGATTTCCCTTGGTAGCATTTCCCAGGCATAAATCAAGCACAAATGAATAACCTTTGATTTATCATTCCTAATGGAGATGTACATCATATTGGCGTGTCATCACATTTCAACATTGGCCATTATGATGCCAATCATATAGTAATTTTCTTCCGTGTCATAATCAGCGAGGAAGATGTACATTTCCATTCAGTACAATTAGATTTTCATGTCTCTTAATGGCAGCTGAGGGCATTAGGCAGAATACCTGCTTTTGCTGCCTCTAACACTTTTGTGCTCATATTTTTTCTGAAATTGTATCCAAACCATTACCCAATCACCACTTTCCTATAGTTAAACACCACCTCTGCTCGTAAGGGAGAAAGCGAGAAAGATTTAAACTACTGTGCAGAGGTATAGGCATCAAAATCCTAGTCATATGCACGCTGTTGGAAAACATCTGATCTTAACCGTTTAAAAGCTCTTTGGTGTGTTTCATGAAATCGGCTTACGCTTGTCAGGCTGGTCCCTCGTGAACTAACCGGCGGCCCAAAGCACGCTGCGGCCGTCCAGCTGGGCCTGCCGGCTGGCTTGCCGAGCTCGGCGACACCGTTACCAACAAGCAAGGAGGAGAAACCTGAGCTGCCGCTGGTGGTAAGGAAACTCCCCTGTGACCAGACCCCGCGGGCGGGCCGGCTGCGACGCCCTGCCGGCACTGGCAATGCTTGGCTGCTGGCTGCTGGCCCTCTACACAGCTGCTGTTCAGGGCCAGCGTATCACGGGTTACCAAACAAGTAAAACACGAGTACTGACACTTTCAAAAGCATGTCTGAGAGGCCCATCAGGCGGCTATCCCACAGCCTTTGGTGCTCAAACACTCGCTTTCCTAAGCGGGTGCTTTGCTTTTTTGGTGCCTTCAGTCTCAGTCCAACCGAACTAGTCATGCTAGCGCAGGGGGAGTCAGGAGCACAAACGGACACTCTGCCAGCGGAGGGCAGACCAACAGAGCAGCGTAGCCAGAGCCTTCTAACTAAATTCATAAACTTTAAAAAAACCAAACAAGCAGCACAAAAGCCGACCTTTAAAAAAGGCTGTGCGCTTTCAGAGAGGCGAGGGAGCCACCAAGCGCTGGCCGGGCCGCGGCAGCGGCCTCCCG